GACCAGGGACACGGATTTATAATCCAGCCGTATAATCATGTGAGAGAACATGAGGCTTCAGAGAGACAAATCTAACTTCCTTATTTTATCCTTGGGTTTTGTTTTCATTTTTAGTTTATAGCACAGAATTCCTTACCTTATAATGACCTCACTGAAAAAAAAACACCTAAGTATTTAATCCTGATTAATCAGACCCAACACATCTAGGCCCTTAGATAACTCTTCAAAGATAATCTGGTAGAACTGTTTGCTCCTTCCAGACACACTGCTCAGCAAGTCCTCCCTGCTCATCTAATCCAAATGGAAAATGAAATCCCAGATGGGATACACACTGTAGGACACGTAGCTTACTCATGGCCTCTATGTGACAGTTCTTAAGTGTATATTTCATGATGCAAGAACCTTGTGTCTAATGCACTATTATTCCTCTGCCACCTTGAGGACCAGCAGGCACAAGACACTTGAGCAAAAGCACTAAAAAGCTACCTCCCTGAAGCATCTGTAAAGTGAAGTTTTTCTCCTTTGTACCACCTGAAACATGTATACTGACCTAGAACATTTAGCTTCCCAACTTATTTAGGCAGAAATAAATTCAGTGATCCAAATTCTAAATATAAATAGGCCATACAAGTCAGCAAATCACATCCTGTGAATTAAATCTAGTTTATGGTCTTCTTTATAGACCAAGTGTTATTGAAATAGCGATGCCTACTTGCTTTTCTAGGGTCCGACTAGTTTCTGCTATAATATATGTATTGATCAGTTCCACAAAGACCTTAAAATATTTACATCTCATGCTTCATAGAAAACATCTGCTGGTTCCTGCTGATTCCTGACATGAGAGCAGCAATGATGACACCACTGAAGCATCCAAGAATAACATTTAGAGAGAGGAACTGAAGTACACAGGAAGCAATGCTAGAAGATGAAGGAAGTCTTTCACTGGAGGCAAACAGACATCATTGCATGGTGCTGTCAAGGGGGAAATGGGGCAGTTTTAAATGACAGTCTCTTACAGTAATTCCTGTTTGCCTTCAGTGAAAGATTTCTGCAAAATTCCCTGTATACTATATTCTACTCAAAGCACACCATGTTCCTTTGTGATAATTATTTTCTAAACTTAGGAATCAATCAGAGAAGTATCTTCCCACATAAAAGTGCCAGCTTACAGAATCATAATGTATCAATTTTTAAAATACAGTTCTTCTAGCCTCAGGCAATAAATAATACAGAATTCATTATAGATTACAAAGGAAAATGATGCTCAAGAGAAAAAAATGTCACAAACTTCTTAAATTAGTGGCAATGAAATAAAAACTGAAGATTTCTTTTTCTAGTCTCAATGTGGAACCTTTAGCTACTAGTTTTTTCAAATGGGTTCTAGTTATAAAAATACAGATGAAGTAGGCAGTCATGGAGACACATGCCTATAATTCCAGCACTCAAAATGCAGAGACGAGAGAGAATCATTGTGGTTTCTGAGGCCAACCTGAGCTAAACAGGAACTGGAGTTATATCTGGGCTATATAGTGCGATCGTCTCAAAAATATAAAGTAAAGAAAGTGAGTTTGGAGACAAGAACCCACTCTAATCATCCCTAGTGGTTATGTATCGCTTCCATTTATTAGATAAGTCAGTTCATTACAATCAAGAATTTCTTACACACTCTAAATTTACTTTGCTACCTCCTTAAAACATATTTTTTCAAAAATTCTGCTCTATGTAACAAGGATGAATCTTGAAAACAATAGCTAAAATAAATTGTCTAAGACAGACAAACACTATATGATTCCCCTTATATAAGGTACCTAAACCAGAATGGTGGCCACTAGGAGCTGAGGAGGAAACCAGAAAGGCTAAATCAAAGCCATCTGCTGAATAACATTGTGCCTGTGCCTAGGGTTAGCGATAACGCATTGCACAACTAAAAGTTTATCAGAGTATGTCTCATGTAAGTGGACTTATCAAAATTAAAGACATAATCTTCATGCTCAGTATTTGGGGGACAAGCTTTGCTCACAGTAACATCAGCACTCAATAACAGCTCCTTGAATAAAGGAGGTGATTAATAAGTCACTTTCAAAAATGAAGAATGGAAGGGGCTGGGCATAACTTAGTTGGTAGACTGTCCAGCATGTATGAAGCCCTGGGTCCATCACAAGCAACACATGCAACACACACACACACACACACACACACACACACACACACACACAGAGAGGAAGGAAGAAAGGAAGATGATGAATCAAACACACAAAGGATGTACTTTATCTGTGAGTTCAAGGCCATCCTGATCTACAGATTAGAAAGGAAGATGATGAATCAAACACACAAAGGATGTACTTTATCTGTGAGTTCAAGGCCATCCTGATCTACAGACTGAGTTCCAGGACAGCGAAGGCTATACAAAGAATCTTTCTCAAAAACCCAAATTTAATAAAAAAAAAAGATAAATACATAAATACAAAAACAAATTTAAAAGTCAAAGTAAATATTTACTCTTCACAAGTTTCTCAGGTAATTATTACAGTGTCAAAAAGTTGACTGAGCTTCAGAATAAGGTGTGGAAAAAGTATGTGAAGTAATTTGTTGGCCAAAAACACAGCAAACAGACACAGTGGAGTCATGTATAGCCTCACCATCTGGCATCTCATGGCCTAAGACTATGATTTATATACTCCACTACATCTGCTCCTCTTCTGTGAGAGTCTAAACACACTTAAAAGCTGAATAATTTATAAAGCCTATCTATAGAAACTAAAGACATAATCTGTCCATGCTGTATATTTAAAGTACCAGTATTGCTTATCATAGCCGCCAGCAGCCCAATACAGAGGTATCTCACTTATGACCATAACCAGTAGTTTTCTCATTTTCAAAACAGTTCTGAAACATATCTCCCTAGATGGATACATGAGGTAAGTCAATGAATTGAGGGTTTCATGCTTCCATGCCTTTTGCCTTGAATCTTAGTAATCTTTCCCATTGGTTCTGGGTGGGGCACATAGTTTTCTTTAGTAGTTAACATGTACACAACTGTAATACATGTAACACAGGAATAAATTATATGTGCATATGGTTGTATACACATGCTTCCTATTATTCGTTTGTTTGTTTGTTTGTTTTTCGAGACAGGGTTTCTCTGTAGCTTTGGAGCCTGTCCTAGAACTAGCTCTTGTAGATCAGGATGGCCTTGAGTATTGGGATTAAACGTGTGTGCGACCACCACCCGGCTCACACTTCCCATTATATAAACAGCACATGGCATATAGGTGAGTTCTGTTCAATACATTATTACAAGTTATACATCTCTCATCCATGGTGTTTTCCAGATTAAATTGACAATGTTTTCCAAAAGTAACAACAATCAAACACACTCTCTCCAGCACACTGAAACTCAAGCATGGTGATCAGAGGGAGAGGACCTAGGAACATTACAAAAAACAATATACTTTCTAATCTCCTAATTCAGAATCACTCATCTCCAGGCATAAATTCATTCATGTTCAAAATGTATGACACTGCCATTTTAAGACTAAATATATGTGTTTAAGTACATCACCTTTTTTTAAAAAAGATTGAGGGGCGGGGATAATCAGGCAAACTGACAAGATAGAGCACAGCGCTCTGGTGATCAGAAGAAGGCACCTCATCTTCTGGAGCTGGAGCTCTAGGCAGTTGTGAACTACCTGTCTTGGGTGACAGGAACTGAACACAAGTCCCTGTAAGAGCAGTATGTACTCTTAACTGGTGAGCCATGTCATCCAGCTTTGTAGTTTTCAATATGGTACTCAAATCATCTACTAACTCAAAATATTTCATCACTAGCCAAACTGAGAAACTTTAAAGTGTGGTCTATTCTCTAAATATGTATTTTAGAATAGTTCACAACTATGAATTCACTCTTCAACATTTTAGAAACAAAACACATGTGTATCACAGTAGGCAAATAATTCTATTCCATTTTGGTTTTAGACAGGAGTCTCATGCAGACTAGGCTGGTCCAGAATTTGGTATGCATCCAACGGTAACCTTAAGTTTCTGATCCTCTTGCCTCTATCTCTGAGTGCTAGGTTTACGTCTGTACAACACAATGCTTGGCTGATTAGTTAAAAAAAAAAATTCAAGTAATCATCCTAAAGCATTTGAGAAGAAAGAGAATACTCTTGCATACATTTTCTAAGAATGAACTAAGAGGTGACTAAAACCAATAAAATCTTAATACTCAACCTTTTTGTATCTAAGGTTACAGACACGCAACCAGCAACCAGAATGGTACACCAGACCTTACCAAGATTTAAGAAGCATTTCCTCCAGGCATAGTGGTGCACACTTCTGGTCCCTGAGGCAGAGAAGGTGGATGTCTGTGGTTTACAGAGAGAGTTCAGGACAGCTAAAGCTATACAGATAGCTAGACTCTGTCTTGAAACCTTCCCTCAAAAACAAAACAAAGCAATTCCATGCTCTATTAACGTCACCCATTTTACAATAGATCACTACTTTTATTAGTAACAAAACTCAAATCAAAAAAGAAGTAAGCCAACAGCACAGCATTACTGAGAGCCCATTAGAGGTCACAGGAACCAGTTCCCTAGGACACTATGCTGCCTTTCACAACTAGCTAAGCATGAGACATCACAAAAACCTAATTAAAATGTTAGTTAGAAAGGATGGGAAAGGTCTTGAGAGCTCATCACATAACTAGCTCACGTGACAGAGCTGGCACTTCTCTTTCCCTCCTTCCCCTCAAACTGCCTTCTACAGCCAACACTGCTAAGTTTCAAATACCCATGTCTTACCTCTAAGTAAAGTTATAAGTACCTAGGTTTACGGTAAAACACTCAGGCATTAGTTCGAAATGCATTATCAAATAGGAACTTTCTGAAATATCTAAATACAGAATACAAAAATAACACTGAGACAAGGAAACATCATTTTAAGCAACTTATTAAATCATATTAAAATGACCACAATCAAGTTAAAAATTGCAAAATACTTACTTCATTTCCATGTTTTTGCAAGAATTCAATTTCCTGTTGTGTAAATGTTGTCATGGAGATAGATTTCACCCTGTGAGGTGGATTTAATCCTCTCCTAAAAGATAAAATATTTTACAAAATTACTACTGCATATTTCTAAATTATTCAAAACATTTTAGTATACTTAAACTTATAAGTATTTTCATTCCATAAACATATTTAATATTAAACAATTGCTTATCATACAGATAAAGTGAATTTAATTAGAATTCACAGCATTAGCACTCAAACAGACACAACATGCCTTTGATTTACATTTAGTTTTGATTTTTATTTAAAATTATATCGTGAGCAGGTGCACATGCTGTCCCCACAGAGCAACATGTGTGGAGGTCAGGACAATCTGCAGTAGTCAGTTCTCTCCTCCAAAATTTTGGTGCAAAACGGAACTCGGGTCATCAGGCCTGGCAGCAAGCATCTTTACTCACTGCTCTATGTAGCTGGCCCAGATAAACTCTTTTTAAAAGTTTTTTTTACAAGGAATATAGAAAAGTAAAAGCTTTTCTGAAATAAGGAGAGGCAAAGCAGCAAAGTGAGAGGAAGTAAGCTCTGGGCAGGGGATTTTTTTAAGGTTAAAAATGTGAGTTGACTCAGCAGGGCAGGACCCCGGTGACCAGAGCTCCACCTCTGGAACTCACATCATGAGAACACACACATGACCTCTGACCCCAACACATGCTGCAGCACACACACACATACACGCATACCCAAAATAAATGTTAAAAAATTTAAAGAATAAAAAACAGTATCAGCAACAAATATCTAAGAATGAACTATATTATGCAAAGCAACTGGCCAGAAAAATGTAAGTTCATTTTTGTAAAATAAAATACTTACAAAGCACTTACACAGGTACTTAATATTTCTAACAGTATGACAGACAAGACACTCTTTCAGTTTCATTGCTTAATTTTATTTGTAATAATGTGTGTATGTGTGGGACTGGGAGGTGTGTAGATGCCAGTGCAGGTGCCAGAGGCCAGAAGAGGACATAGGAATCCCTAGAGCTGGAGCTGTAGGCCAGTGTGAGGGGCTGGAAACCAAACTCAGGCCCTCTGCAAGAATAGTACATTCTTCTAGCTGCTGAGCCATCTCTCCAGGAGTGGGAAAAGGTAAGGAGGGAGATGTGACACCTTTCAAACCCCAATTTTCTGAAATGAAAACTTACAAATGTAAAGGTTAAATTTTCAGCAAACCTGTTTAAAAAGCAGATTAAACAAAACTGAACAAAAGCCTGGGCATGGTGGCGCACGCCTTTAATCCCAGCACTCAGGAGGCAGGGGCAGGTGGATCTCTAAAAATTTGAGACCAGCCTGGTCTACAAAGCAAGTTCCAAGACAGCCTAGACTACATAATGAGACCCCCGCTTCAAAAAAAAAATAAAAAATAAACATATCTGAGCATAAAATTACTGAGCTAGAAGATAGAAAGCCAAAAAGGATAACTAAGCCAGAAGGTAACATAAAGACAAAGGAAAACTATAACTAACAGACATCTAAAATCAGTTCTACAGCTACAGAGCTGAAGGAATGAAGATACATCTGAAAAGATAAATTAGTTTAATGGAACTGTAAAAAATAAAATCTACAGTTAGAAACAGTCAAAGATTTTAAATTAAATTATAGCCACTTTCCATAGGGAATGAGAATATTTTCTTCATGTGGAAATGAAATAAATGCTGTGATCCAGAAAAGCAAAGAAAAAAAAAATGGCAGTAATTTCAGACTTTAAAAAAAAAAAATTTTACCAGGAGACTTTTTAGTAAAGAAACTTACATCATACATACTTTAAAAAGCAAAACTATAGGCTGAGTATTGATGTCGCACACCTTTAATCCCAGGACTTGGGGGCCAGAGGCAGGCAGATCTCTGTGAGTTCGAGGCCAACCTGGTCTATAAGAGCTAGTTCCAGGACAGCAAGGGCTACACAGAGAAACTCTGACTGGGAATAAAAGAAAAAAATACAAAGAAAGGAAGGGACGGACAGACAGACAGACGGAGGAAGGGAGGGAGGGAGAGAGAAAGGGAGGAAGGAAGGAAGGAAGGAAGGAAGGAAGGAAGGAAGGAAGGAAGGAAGGAAGGAAGGAAAAGAAACTATACAAAGTTTGTGAGATGCAAAGGAATAAATACAGGCCCCAACAGACAGGCAAATCTAAATACACAAGGTCAATCTGTAAGAGTAAAGGGGGACACATTTAAATGTTTTAGCACTAACAATACTTGAGAAAGCATTTTGTATTTCCAACAGCTAAATAGTATCAAAGTAAAAATACGGATCAATCACAGAATGTTTAGTATGAACAAGAGTCTCAACAGTGACTACTAAGTATGGAATTTGTAGTTTCCAAAAACAGTGGAAAGAAAACATCAGGACAAGCCTGTTACTTCTCAATAAGATAAAACATACATACACTTGCTACTTGACCTTGTAGTAAAGATCACAAGTGAGATATAAATCTACTTTTGTCCCCAAACTTGTCTACTTATGTGATACGGTAAAATAAAAAACAGAAAGGGGCCAGCTACTGCAGGCAAGTCTGGCTTAACTATACATAAAGTGAGCAATCAGAAAGCCTGGTTCCATCATGCTATTCTCGGAAAGAACCAAGGACCTTAGCCAGGGGAAGCAAAAAAGCCTACTAGTTTAGAGTGTGGTAGTCGGCAGTTACAATAAAAAACAAACAAACAAAATAACAGTGTGTTGGGGGTGGGGTGGTTCACAGCTCTATGTCTGAAGAAGTTACAATGTTGTGGGCAATGTTTTCCAACAATGCCCAACACGGCCTACACCTCAGTCTGTATGTAGCCTGCTGGCTTTAACTCCCGGATCCTTTTGCCTCCATTTCCCAAGTGCTGGGATGACAGGTGTGCACCACCATGCCCAGCTAGCAGCCTGTCTTTTCTACCTACCAAATCTCTTAAAAACAGAATCCTGGTCTGGGCAGTGGTAGCGCACGCCTTTGATCCCAGCACTTGGGAGGCAGAGGCAGGTGGATCTCTTTGAGTTCGAGGCCAGCCTGGTCTATATAGAGTGGGTTCCTACACAGAGAAAGCCTGCCCCAAAAAGCTAAAAAAAAAAAAAAAAAAAAAAAGAAAAAAAAAAAAAAAAAGGGGGGGAGGGAAGGAAGGAGGGAAGAAGGAAGGAGGGAGGGAGGGGGGAAGGAGGGAAGAAGGAAGGAGGGAGGGAGGGAGAAAGGAGGGAGGGAGGAGAAATGGATCAAAACCGACATATTCTTAACATGTACTCCTGGCAGCTGATGCCACTTCTCCTCATGCTCGTCATCAGATGAATACAGTCAGTACAAAACAGCTCATTGTGACATGACTCATATATTTGATGAAAGTATTGGGCAAAAAAATATCATTTTTTCAGAGCTAGTATTAATAGCAATGCCCACCCTGAACTCTAAAAACACACATTTTTAAGTCTCCAAATTTGGGCCAACATTTTTAGACTCATTTAGTAAGTGCAACATTGATGTTTTGAAAGCATGTATGCCAGTTAATTGGCCTTAAGTTCCAAAGTAACCTGCCAGTACAACCCAATATGTTTCTGCAGTATAATTAAGTCACATACAGATCCCCAGGAGTTGTTTTAATGACCACCACCCAGGTATGACTGTAACCAGATGGTGTGACTCACTGAATATGTCTGCCAGTATGGTCCTAACTATGCCTCAATCTTGCAAATAGTCATTTGTTCAATTCAAATGCCAATCTGTGCTAGATGAGTAAGAAAGCTCATTTGGATGATTTATTAATTGTTTTTCCCCTGCTGAGAGAGAAGCTGCTTAAAATACTTTAATAAGCTATGGAAATGTATATGGTTGTTAATACTACTGTCAGAAAGTAATAAAGTTAAATTAACATTAGGTATATCCTAAGCCTAGTTATTTACTAAAAAAATCTCATATTTCATATTATAAAAATTACACATTTAAAATCTAAAACAGAAGATGCTTTTAGTAAGTTAAGATTCTTTTAACTGTTGGCTCTTGGACACCTATGTACAAGATTGTTCATTTATCCAGAGTGCAAAGTCAGCTTGCCTCTCCCTTCCCCTTCCCTCTCTCTGTAAATAAATGACACAATAGTTATTTTGTTCGTTTGTTTGTTTGTTTTCTTAGAAATCCACAATCCCAAGATTCTTATACTACTCAGGGCAGTCATCTAGAAACCAATATTCAAGTAATGAACCGATGCACAGTGGAACCGTGAGGAACAAAACTAACAGCATAAGATCTGCACTGCCCCACTGGAAGGACAGCAGAATAAAAAGATTAGCCCACAAGAAACAAGGAATGAAAAACACGGCAGAGACCGTACAAACAATGTTGTTCTTGAATAGCAAACATGCCAAACCAGGGCCTAAAGTTACAGCCTCTAAGGAAACTAAGGCAGGAAGGTCACCTGAGGGCAGATGTTCAAGACCAGCCTGGACAATACAATATGAACATTCTGGACTCTCCCAGATGTCTCTGCCTCTGGTTGTGCTCTCCCTCACATCTACAGTAAACCATCTCCTCCACCACACCTAGGAGCCATGTCCTTCCTTATTTATTTCCTTTTCTTAATTCAATAGCAAAGCTGCTGACAAACCAAGACCCTTCAGCAAAAGTCTCCACAGTCAAGAGTGAATGAAATGGGAGTATTCCGATGGATGACCGAAACAAATACAAATTCTAACAAGACTAACTTGTCCAGAAGAAGTAGCTCAATAACTACTGCCACTGTTTTCTGGTTTGTGTGTGAAAGAGAGAGAGAGAGAGACTAATCTGGGTCATGAAATAGTAACTATACCTATCAAGTGTAGGATATTGAACCTGTAAGTACTGACAGCTGTTCAGATTTTTTTCTTTGTTTTTGTTTTGCATCAAAAACATCAGTTAAGGGTAAACTAAATGAAAGCTTTCAGGAGATGCCTCTTTTAGCAAAATCAAATTATCTGATGAAATGATGTAGTCCCCATACTGCGGAGCAGCATTCACTAGATGCTGGGGAAATCTCCCAGTCATTACTCAATTAAAACTTAATTTTTAACTGTTCTGCAGAAGGA